TCTGTTCACATGGCCTTTGGTTAGTTTTCATAATTAACATTTTCCTAGAAAATCACCCACTTAATCACAATTTAAAATTTTGTGGTATAGTGTAAGTAATCGTTTCTTATAAAAACTTTTCTCCATTTTTGAGTATAATCCTTCTCAACAAATGCTGGGTAATTTTTTTTTCACATCTGCATTTTTGCTTTCTCATTTTTCTCTTTATGTTCCACAAGTTCATCTATTCTTTTGAACCAGCTCTTATAAATGTTCTTCTAATTTACTAATTTCTGCTTTCTAATTGTTTCCATTTTTTTTTCTTTTACCTTACTTTCTTTGGCATTTTCTTCAAACTTTTTGAATTTAATCACTTTTTTCTTTGACTAGTTATTTTGATATTTAAAAATTCAATAAAGGCCATGGAGTTTATACCTAGGAGTGAAATTGCTGGATCACATGGTAATTCTATTTAACTTTTTGAAGAACTACCAAACCGTTTTTCACAGCAGCTGCACCTTTTTACATTCCCACCAGAACAGGTGTGAGGGTTCCAATTTTTACACATCGTGGACAATATTCATATATGTTTTTGTAGCTATTCTCGTGCGTCTGAAGTGATATCTCATTGTGGTTTTAACACTTCCTTGATGACTAATAACTTGAGCACTTTTCATATATTGTTGGGGTCATCTGTATATGTTCTTTAGAGAAATGTTTATTTAGAGACTCCTATCATTTTTCATGGAAGAAAACCAAGAATCTAAATTGGCAACCAACAATCTACAACACTCAGCTTTCCTGCCTTCAAGTTCAGTATTCTTCCCTGCAAATGGGCGACTGGATGATGTGCAGACATCCCCAGTTAGGTAACTAAGGGACAAACATTTTACTTCAGTGTTTATACATGGATAGTTAATACGTAATATGTAAGAACCTAGCGGAATATAATTGAGACACTACCCTTACACACCAATGAATTTGATCCAACTCAATAAACATTAATTGAACGTTTACCAGGTGTAAAGTGCTGTGCTAGGCACCACGGGAGATAATGATATAAACACCACCTCAAAAAACCAAAACACCTCCTGCTCCTCCCATTACTGTTGTCTTACAGTCTTTAGAAGATATACATGGGACAAAAACTGCCACTAGGAACATGATGAAAACATAGTTGCATTTAAAAACAAATAACGTACCTTTAAATTGTGGTTTCATTTATTACATACATTTTTGGCCTTTTGACTCTAGGATAGCCATTCCACCAGTCCAAGTGATTTCACAGACCCAACTCTTTAGGAGTAGGTTCTCATGGAAGAGTACCTTCAGTATTTAAGGATGGGGTAGTACTTTATCAGGTAGATCCTATCTTTATCCAGAACAGGAAAATCATCTGTCAATTTGAGGTTGCAAAAACACCAACATGCTGGAAGCACAAAGCTGAAACCCTGTCTACTTTGAACGAAGTAACAGAGATATTCTACATTATAAGATAGCAGTTTTATAAAACCTATTTGAATTACAATTTTGATGCAGCTACTTACTTGGCAGCTGGCCAGTATAGGGAGTCAACCCTGGACCCTGGTGCTAACAGCACCACACTCCAAGCAATTGAGTTAACCAGCCAGCCTGCAGTTACTTTCTAAAAAAAGCATGTTTGGTGACTGCTTTAACAAAGAAAATTGAGTAAGGTTTACCACATGAAATTAGTGTTTTCACAAACATACCAGAAAGAAATTATTTGAAATCATGTTAAAAATGATTTGATTAACTACTTTTATTTCCAAAGTCTGTGGCTTTAAATTTGGTTCTATGACATGACGTGCTACCTGAGTCAGGTTACAGGCTACATGAAAAAGCTACTCTAATTCCTTTAGTAATGTACCTTCTTCCTGGCTCCTCATTTTTATTCAGTAGGTTTGACTATTGCAATACATTTATTTAAAAAGCATCTCTCACTACTGAGGCTATTTAAAAGAACATTTATTATAAGCTCTAAAGGCAGCTCCAGAAACATTTTGAACAACAATAACTCCACTAAGTGAAAGATGTTCATTTGGATAGAAATGCATTTACTAAGGCATTTGTTATGTCATAGGCACACTTCATGCATTAATTATCTACCTCAATTCCACCATTTTAATATTCTATATATTGCTTATTTCAATAAACAAAGATGAATTTCTTTTCTGGGTGCAGTACTCTAGAATCTAAGTGCTGTGTTTGTTCTAATTAACCTGAACTATAATCTGGATCTAGAATCTCACTGCAAATTAGTTTATAACTTAGGACTACATCATAAGTTTTGCCTTGGATCTGCGTTTAAAAACAGTGAAAAGTTGATTCAAATGGCAGCTATAAGAAACTAAAACCCCCCTGCATTTTCAAACATAGTGAAATGAAACTATGGAAAGACAAAAATTGCCCTCGATGGTCAGAAGAAAATATGCTTTACAATTCAAAATTATAGTTGAGATTGATGCAGAAACTGCAGTTTTCTACAGCAGAAGTGACAATATACTGACTCAAAAGCAAAACATATTGGCATCAAAATTTAATATGCCGGGCTGGCCCGTGGCTCACTCGGGAGAGCGTGGTGCTGATAACACCAAGGCTACGGGTTCGGATCCTATATAGGGATGGCTGGTTAGCTCACTGGCTGAGCGTGGTGCTGACAACACCAAGCCAAGGGTTGAGATCCCCTTACCGGTCATCTTTAAAAAAAAAAAAAAAAAAAAATTAATATGCCTACAATTAAAATCCTACTGAAGTATTTAAAAAAAATTATAACAGTGGATCTGGGCCACTTGATATGCAGGCAGGATTAACTACAAGCTTTACTTCATGTTAAAAGCAGGTTCTTATGAAAATATTTTAAACAATTCTGATAAGTCACCAAATTTGAATTTTTCTTATCCTAATCTGTCATCTTATACATGCTTTTCTAAAGAACGAAGCAATACAGCTTATCTGAAAAGTGTTAGCATATAAAATATATCTAGGTCAAATGTCAAAACATTTTTTATAATAAAAACTGTGAGCATCTAGTACTATTAAAAAGGAAAAAAAATCTAATTCTGATGTACCTGTGTCCTATATAAGAATAACATAGAAAAATATAAAACGTATAGAACAATTTGATGATTAAGACCATGAGGTCTACCTCAAAGCAACTTTAAAATTTTCCCAACTTAAAAAATTTGGGGGTGGGGAAACCAAACTAGGGAATGTGGAGGAAGTAAACTGAATATTCCACAGGGCATTAAAAATTAGTCTTCTGTTTTCAGCTAGAAATATGTTAAAAGTAGATAGATAAATCATGTATGTACCTAATTCAGGATACATTACTAAATTAGTGCATAAATGAAAAGTGAGTTTCGGGTTAACCTGAATATACTGGTATGAAATCAAGCACATACATTTCCCTTCATATCAGCAATTACTGACAACCAGAGCTAAAACTGGATTTTCAATACATAGCAAGCAATTAAAAAAAATCACTGTAAGGGGCTGGACAGTTAGCTCACTCGGTTAGAGCGTGGTGTTGGTAACATCGAAGTCAAGGGTTCAGATCCCCATACAGGCCAGCCACCAAAAAAACACAAAAAAACCAAAAAACAAAACCAACCACAGGGATTATAAATTAATCTAGTTAATGTATTAGTACTGATGTGTAATATTTTATGCCTAATCCAAAAGCAGCAAGAAAATCATTTTGCCTCTAGTTCATAATAATTCTAATATGATGTTTATGTTAGAATCTTGGCTTTATGCAGCATACACAAACGTAATCTTGTTCATTAAAAAAAATAGTTGTAGGGGCCGGCCCGTGGCTCACTCGGGAGAGTGCGGTGCTGATAACACCAAGGCCCCGGGTTCGGATCCCATATAGGGATGGCCGGTTCACTCACTGGCTGAGTGTGGTGCTGACAACACCAAGTCAAGGGTTAAGATCCCCTTACCGGTCATCTTTTTAGGAAAAAAAAAAAAAAAAAAAAAAAAGTTGTAAAGACGACCCTATAGATATACAACCTCCTAATACTATAGCTGTGAAATGAAAGCCCAGGGACTTGTTCAAGGTCACATGGCTAATGAACACAAGATCCCAGACTTTCTACCTCACAGGTTGGTGCTTCTACTATACCAAAATATTTCTAATAATAAATATTTGTTTAAACCAATGAACTATTAGGTATAATATTTAAAAGTTTAGCCTAATAGGAATAGAAAATCTTAGCACATATATGACTGGCCTAGAATTAAACTGGATTCAGATATTGCAAATAAAACACAATATATATAAAATCAATGGCATCTTTTGATTACCAGACTTTAAGTGTTTTTATCAAACTTAGATATAGCCAACCAGAAGCTCAACTTATCTCTGGATACATTCAAGCTTTGTTAATTTGTATGAAATTTCCCCTGTATTAAGGTAAGAATTACGTGAGTTAGTTTAAACATTCTTCAATCTTTAACAGGAATTTTATATTATTTCTCAGAATATTTGCAGTTTTCAAAGAATAATAAGTGATAAGCACAGCTAAACAAATCACACTAAAATGACAACTCCATGCATAGCAAGATGCCTCTAAAATGTATAACTGTTAGCATGAGCTGAATTTACCACGTAATAAATTCTACTTCTCAGTATCAACAAGGATCTTCAAGAGTAGGAGGATTATCTGTCAATAATAACTACACAAAAGATAATCAATCTAAAAAGCATAACTTAAACAGTAAAAAAATGAAATATTAATTGAATAAAACAAAGGATTTTGTAGTAATATTTTCTGTGTAGAAACAAAGATATTGGGGAGATTTGCACATAATTTACCAAGTGTCAGAAACCGTTATGGTTTCAATGCTATATAAAATAATTATTTTAAATTTAACCAAATAAAACTTCCCACTATTCAGTTATATGGCAAGATGTCCTGAAGCAAACAGTTTCATGAAACTTCGGAAAAAGAGAATATTAAGGCTAAAAAGATCAAACACCAAGTGTTCATCATACCTTTCAGTCAACACAGCCTTTATTAACATGCAAGTACCATTTGCCGCAAGATATACAGCTTTACCTGGTTTTTGTTTCAGTTTTATTTTAATGTCTTAAACTTAAGGTTACTTCTGAATTTAACATATAAAGTAACCTACAAAAACTGGTGAAAGTTAAACTTTTTTTCTAGTTATCACCTTGACTTTTGAATTCATCATTTACGTTTATAATTGGCATTGTCACCAAGTAGCAGAATGTAATTCTTAGACTTGATAAATAATCTTCTATACTAAAATATGTACCAGTAAGTCTTAAGAAGTACTAAAAATATGCAATTTATATTTAACTGCTTTCAATAAGCTACAAAGTACAATGGCTGGATTTTACTAAGAGGAAAAAGTATTTTTATTTATGGTTTTTGCAGTTTCCAAAAAACTGGTCCATATTAAGCCAGTCTTGAAGAAGTAAGCTGAAGACTTAAAATTTACAGACCCTATATGACAGCCTTTGTTCTACCACTAAGATAGAGACAAAATACTAAATCCAACTCCAATGCTTCGTATCCCATGCAGAGATGCTCTGTCATAGTTTTCATGTCTTCTGCCTGCTTAATATAAAAGCTGAATGTCTTCCTTATGAGTCTGATTTCAGTAGAAGACCCACTGATTATCAGTATCATATTTATTGGGACATATTTTAATTAACAGAAGATAATTCATGTACTATATCTAAGTGCATTATAAGATTTTTACTGTATCTTTCCACATGTTTTTCATATTTTATAACATTCCAATTTGGACAGAGGAAGACTGGAATAGTTCAGAAAAGTCTAGCTCTTAAGATTTAGGTGAAGTTCATAGTGACTCTTCTAAAACACATTTAAACAATTGAAAGTGTAACCACAAGGGACTATAAAGGAAGAATGAAATTGCAAAGGAAGCTTTATAGTCAATGAAAGAACAGTACTTTGGATTGCCCAAAATGCACAATGCATAAGAAGTCTGTCATGTAGTTTACCTGTTGACCATCTAGGTACAATTCAAAGTTACTGCTCCAAAACTGTACCTAGTAACTTTCCAAAGTTGCTTTTAAATAAAGTTCTTAAATTGTAGCAATAAACAAAAAGACAAGATACACTTAAACAATACTGCAGTTTATCAAAAGACACATAAGAAATTTCAACTCTTATTTTTTTGAGAATTATAAAAATCAATGTTTTGGCTAAGTTATTAACATGTTATAATGCAATTATCTGCATAACTCTAGTAATGCTAACGGCAACTATAAGATCAGAGTAGGTTTTTAAAAAAACACTAAAAACATAAAAATACTTAGCCCCATTATTTTCCTGTAGAATGTGTTCATTTATGCCTAAATTTCAGTATTTAGTATATTGTCATTGCTCTAATTTTAAAAGTCACATCCAAAGGATAAGGCAAAACCACCTACAAATTGGCATATTTGTTTATTTCTCAGTTTGTGAAAATGTCCTTAATTTGTTGATGTAGCAAACAAATTTCAACTCTGATTGCTATGCAAAAGAAGAGAAGAGAATCTGCTTTGCAATGAACTTTATAGTTCAATTGCATACAGGCAACATGCTATATATGAAAAAATTACTAACTGAACTACAGGTATTAAATACTGAAAAAAGTTAACAGTTTATTATAACTTATTTTATTTAACAATCTAGGAAGTTCGCAGCCATCAGCAGTTCCAGTGCAATTTCAGGTGCAATTGGGAATTCAGGAATCTCGGTGGAGCTGTTAGTGTAGCGAACCTTGTAGGTAAAATACATGCATACTTTTGATAGTACATGTGAAGGGATCTCTCTAAAATTGACCTCATTGGTTTCGTTCTCAGCAAACTGACCTGTAAAACAAAAGGATTATGTATGTTATGGGCTTAATTGTGTCCCCCCCAAAATTCATATTAGACGTCTTAACCCCTAATACCTCAGAATGTGACTGTATTTGGAAATAGGGTCTTTAAAGAGGTAATTAAGTTAAAATGAGGTCATTAGGGTAGCAATCTAACATGACAGGTATCCTAAGAAGAGATTAGGACACAGACAGGCACAGAGGGAAGACCATGTAAAGACACAGGGAAAAGATGCCTTCTATATAAGGCAAGGAAAGAGGCAGAAAAAAAACCTACCCTGACAACATCTTAATCTTCAACTCCTACCCTCTAGAACTGTGAGAAAATAAAGTTCTGTTGTTTAAGCTATCCAATCTGTGGTACTTTGTTATGGCATCACTAGCAAACTAATACATGTTAAAAGAATAACCCTAGGGCTGGCTGGTTAGCACAGGTGGTTATAGTGTGGAGCTGGTAACACCAAGGTCCAAGGTTCAACTCTTGTACCGGCCAGCCACAAAAAAATTACAAAAACAAAAACACATTTGGTGTCAAACAAATTACTTAACTGATTTCTGAGTATAAATAACATAAAAAAAATCTTTATTAAGATAGCATTTGAGATTCATCAAGATCGAATTTTAAAATTCTAATTCTTTCCCTGTGGGGTGGACACTTAAGTAGCTTTTCCTAAGAATCTTGCTGGCATGCTTACGGTAAGCAGGACAGAAAAAGCTAAACACTCTTTCAGAGGATTCAGTCCAGGAAAGCAAGTCTTTACAGATCATCAGAAGCCTTGTGTTGTATTGAACTACCATGTAAAAATAAAGGTAGGGCAAATAACAGAATTTTTGATTTGGCTTTTCTGGCAGTGAGCATATAAAGCACAGAATAATAAGAGAAATAACTATTTAAAAAAAATCTTTCAGGAAAGGAAATCCATTGTTTCTTCCTTTTGTTTTTAAAAATATGGTCATGCAAATGGGATGCCCTCATAAGACATTTTCTTTTGTTTAATAATACTTCATAAACAGTTTTTCAGTTATTCCTCAAAATTTCTTCATACACATAAAGGTTAAATCATTTAACCTTTGTGTATAGGGACAGATATTTTCTTAGCAGTCTATCACTAGCACGGTGTACTGAATACAAAAGGCATTTCACATCTAAAAATATACTTTCTGAGAATTAAGTACTTTAACAGTTTTCTAATAACTGATTCTGAGTAGGGGATAGGGTGGGTAGGGAGACAGGAGGAAAGTGGGATTCAGCAAATAATTCACAACTACGAGGTAAATTTTGGCTTGCCAACAACTAAAATTCTCTTTGACTATATGTATGAAATATTACCTACAGGCACTTATTAAGCCTTTGATACTAGGCAAATAGTGTGTTTTGTTCTTTTTTTTGAGGTGAAATTTAGCTAACATAAAACATGAAATTGACAATTTGAAAGTATACAATTCAGTGGCATTTAGTACATTCATAATGTTGTGCAACCATCCCCTACCTGGTTCCAAAACATTTTCATCACTCCAAAAATAAAACCTTCTACCCATTAAGCAGTTATTCTCCATTTTCTTCATGTCCCCATTTCCTGGCAAATACCAAGTTGCTTTCTGTCTCTATGAATTTACCTATTCTGAATATTTCATATACATGGAATCATATAATGGTACCTTATGTGTCTGGTTTCTTTCACTAAGCATGTTTTGGAGGTGCATCCACATTGTAGCATGTATCAGTACTTCATTCCTTTTACGTAAATATTAGTTTTGGGCCGAACATTTTCCTGATCCTTTAAAGATAAAACTCTTGCATTTAAATGAAAGGATATCAAGCTTACAAAAAGGAAAAGCCCTTTGATCATAATTTTTAATTAAAATTTTGTTGCCATTAGTGATTTTTTTCCCCCTAAGGTACTTCCTAGCACTATCCAGTGGGAAAGCCTAAAGGTAATTCAACCCAGGAGCAATAAGTACGTCTAGCATCCAGAGTGGGGTCCCTAAATACTATTTTCTAGCAAAGGAAAACAGGCCTCTTTGGAAAAATAGCTGTTTTTTCAAAAGCCAGGGGCTGGGGAAGCTGCTGGGGGCAGGGTGTCCTTGTGACCCCTTGGTCTGAGTAGGATGGTAGGTCCTGATCTCATTTGACACCTGACCTGGTGGAGGCTAGTGCCCTGTCCCCTCTGTTTCACACCAGGTGTCTTGATTGGGAAATAATGTACATGACAAGCCTGAGAAATCTTATTACAGACAGTAGTCTAACTATCGAAGATAAATGGAGCCATGACAAAAGGACACAAGAGTCAACTGGATGTGGCTCTCTCTGGCATAAGAATGAAGCAAATATAGAAATTTGAGTATCATTAAGAATGACTGCAATGGACTAAAAAACATCAAATGTAACGAGTCAGAAGTTCATACTGTCAAAACTCAAAAATAAAAACAAAACACTCTTTACTAGAGAACCAGTGCATTACTTAGAAAAATCATACATAAAGGGAAAAAATATCAAGCATTTATCTTGGCTCTCCTATACAGACCGTATTTTCAAGGTAACCAAATAGTTCCTTCATAAGAGAATTCTAATCAATGAATGTAAAAGAAATTATAAAATTAGAAAACCACTAATTGGTAATCCCACATAGAGAAGAGTAAATCTCAGCAAAAATCACAACGAATGCTAAAACCATTATATAAAAGTTCGACTGGAAAATCTTTAATGGATGAATCAGATTGACAACCCTGAAACCCACTGATCAGTCGTGACTGCTAAAAGATGTGATATGACAGGAATACAGTAGTGCCACCTATAAAGTATCCTTGCTTGGAAAAATGAACTGCAGTCTAATCAAGCCTCTAGAATTCTAGCTGTTAGTTTATAGCATGAAACATTAAGTCAATTGAGATGCAGACACTACACAAATGAACTTGTTTCATTGTAAAATTGAAGGCCTGAAAAAAAAAAGGGAGAGTACAGGGGAACTATCGCAGATTGTGCAAGTGAAATGACACAATGTCAGGAATTTGCTTGAAATATTCCAAAAAAAGTGGGGATAATAGATGAAACAGGATTGGCAAAATGTTAATAACTATTGAAGCTGGCTGATGGGTAAGTGGAGGTGTATTACATTATTCTTTCTACTTCTGTGTATGTTTTAAAATCTCCCTAGTAAAGGAAATTAAAGAAAAAAAAAAAAAAAAACCCAACCCCCCCCCAAAAAAAACTCCCTAGTAAATAATATAGAAAAGGAATTACATAGCCAAAACAATCTTGAAGCAGAAAAAGTTGAAGGCCTCACACTTCCCAATTTCAAAACACTGTAAAGCTACAGAAATAAACACACACCTCTATGATCAACTGATTTTCAATGAGGGTGCCAAGACCACTCAAGGGGGAAAAAATGGTTTCTTCAACAAATGGAGTGCCGGCGTGTGGCTCACTTGGGAGAGTGTGGTGCTGACAACACCAAGTCAAGGGTTAAGATCCCCTTGCCGGACATCTTTAAAAAAAAAAAAAAAGAAACCAAATGGTAGTAGGATATCCACATGCAAAAAATGATGCTGAACCCTTACCTCACACCATATACAAAAATTAACTTAAAACCAAAGACCTAAACATAAGAACTAAATCCATAAAACTCTTGGAAGGAAACACAGAGGAATCTATCTTCATGACATTGGATTTGGCAATAGATTCTTAGATATGACAAAGAAACAAAAGAAAAAATAAATAATTTGTACTTCATCAAAATTAAAAAGTTTACGCTTCAAATGACACCATCAAGAAAAAGACAACCTACAGAATGAAAAGAACATTATCTGCAAATTATATATCTGATAAAGGTCTAGCATCGAGAATTTATAAGGAATTCTTACAACTCAACAACAAAAAGACAAACCACCCAACCCAAAAATGGGCAAAAGACTTGAACAGACATTTCTCTGAACAAAATATACAAATGGCCAGCAAGCATATGGAAAGGTGTTCATCATCATTAATCATTAGGAAAATATAAATCAAAACCTCAATGAGGTATCACTTCATACCCACTAGGATAGCTATAATGAAAAGGATAGACAATAACAAATATTGGCCAGGATATGTAAAAACTGGAAACTGATTAGTACACTATTGGTAGGAATGTAAAATGATTCTGCTGCTGTGGAAACAGTTTGATGGTTCCTACAAAAGCTAAACAGAGAATTACAATATGATCAAGCAATTTCACTCCTAAGTGTATACCCAAAAGAACTGAAAGCAGGTATTCAAATAAACACTTGTAAATGAATGTTCACAGCAGCTTTATTCACAGTAGGCAAAAGGAAGAAATAACCCAAATATTCAACAACTGGCAAAAAGATAAAATGTGGTATATTGACACAATGGAACATTATTAAGCTATAAAAAGGAATGAAGTCCTGTACACATTACCACATGGATAAGATAAACTTTGAAAGCATTACACCAAGTGAAAAAAGCCAGACACCAAAGACCACATATTGTATGATCCCATTTACATGAAATGCCCAGAATAGGCAAATCAGAAAAGCTGACTGATGGCTGTCAGATGCCAGGGGTAAAGATTGGGCAGTGACAGTTTACTGGGTATGGGGTTTCCTTTTGGAGTCATGAAAATGTTTTGAAACTAAACAGAGGTGATGGTTGTGCAACACTGTGAATGTAGTGAGTTCCACTGAACTGTATACTCTAAAACTAATTGTACATTATGTGAATTTTACTTGAAGAAAAAAATTTTTTCTTTAGTTTAAAAAATAAATTACCTCAAGGAAAAAAAAAGTGTTCCTTGGGAACTGCTTGCTAAAGAAAAGAAAAAAAAAAAGGTTAAGAATAGAGATTTGGGAGGTGGCAACATCTATAGATATCTAACTAGGAGCACAAATCACCAATCAGAGCCAGTGGTTGAGAGGCTGACCATGGAAATTAATGTAGGGAAACAAACCTCCTATTATAAAATAATTAATTCAGTCTTATTGAAATTTACTTATAGGGTAAACAACTGAAAACAGAAAATGGCAAAAACCAATTTTTTTCCAATGCAATATAATCATGCAATAATGTTAGAAGAGTTTCTCTTTCTCTCTTTAAATGCTTATCAGTCATTTAATTCAATTTAAAAACACATTTGTCAAACATTAAAAGTGAAAATATATGAAGAAAAAGCAAGAACTGTACTTACCTGGACCACTCAACATTGCTTTTATTGTTCCTGATGTTAGCGCGTGTTCTCTTTTTACAATAAATTCATGACCATCAGAAGATATCAATTTGACATACATGGCATCAGGGCCTTCACAGCCACCATAGGTTTTCTCCTCTCCATCTAAAGTAAAGTGAGTAGTGAGATAATCTTTGAATCACATAACGTATCAAAAATAAACAGGTTTACCAAGATTCATATTTGAAGAACTCAGTTCAGAAACATTTCTGAAAGGTAATATCCACTCACTTTAAGTTTTTAACCCCTTGTTTTATTATTCTCTAAGCATTTTTCAATGTCAGTATAAAATTTAGATTCAAGGATGTTACATTAGATAAAAATTCACTTGTATTTTTCAAGGAGGTATTAATTTTTTGTGACCAAAGTAACACATACAAATTCGAAGATTAAGACAAAATACTTAAATAGCGTAACTTTAATTCCATCACCTGAAATACTCATTTTTAGAAATAAGGTGCACAGTGTGCTTACGAATGTTTATATGCCACATGAGTTCAACTTCCTTTGACAAGCTCCCAACTCTTTTTTTTTTTTTTTTTTTGTGACCGGCTGGTGCAGAGATCGAATCCTGGACCTTACTGTTATTAGCTTCACACTCTAACCAACTGAGCCAAGAGGTCAGCCCCAAACCCTTGACTTTGGTGTTACGACACCACACCCTAACCAACTGAGCTAACTGGCCAGCTCAGTATTTTACTCTTGACTCATAAAAATAATGGTCAAACTATTTATTGACAGTTTAAATTACTGCACGATTGCAGTAATGAATATAGATAAAATACTAGACTTTAAAAATGCAAAGTCGAGGTGAGGAGATAAGTGTACATAGATGTTACTCTGCCACCAGCCATCCTCGCTGCTGCCATGCTGGCTTCGGCTCATCATAACTTTTTGGGGGGATATACATGTTTTTGTATATCTCCTGAAGATCTTTTCTCACATACACAACTTTTACAATTTGTACCATAACAGGATTTTAATTTTTATGGTTACCAATACATGAAAGGAAGTATCTTAAGGCTTATTCTAAAAATTAAGAAAGCCCTCAAAAGTAAGAGAAGGATGAAGTTGAAGTACTGTTCAGCCACAAATATCCGTTTGTTAATAGTTAACCCATTTGTTAATAGAAATCCCTAAAACTAAGATTAATGTCAAAATCATCTGTGTACTACTACTTCCAAAAATGTTTTATCTGAATAAAATCACAAGAAAATGGACAAATTTAAATTGAGGTATAATCTTTAAAAAAGTTGGCCTACTCTCTTAAGACTTTCTTCCCCATCCCCCCAAAAGTAGAGAACTGTTTAAAGGATACTAGGCAAATTAATACAATAAGTGATCTGTGATTGAATGTTTCATTAAAAAAAATAAACCTGTTGTAAGGAACACTATTGAAACAGTTGGAAAATTCTGAATATGAACAGAATTAGGAGATGCATGCTGAAATATTTAGGTGTGAAACGCTGTTTTATGTGCATGTGTATGTGTATAATGAAAGAGTGAAAAATATATCACTCTAACATTGACTATTTAAATTTAAGGCACTCAAAAACAATGGGAGCAAAAAGATCACTTTGACCTTTAAGCTGTCTCTTAAAAGCAAAAGATGAAATTCCCATATAAAAGATGCAATATCGGGCCGGCCCGGTGGCGCACTGGATAGTGCGCTGCTTGGGAAGCGCGGCGGCGCTCCCGTCCGAGGGTTCGGATCCCACATACAGACCGGCTCCCGCTCACTGGCTGAGCGAGGCGCGGGAGCAACGCCGAGGCTTGCGATCCCGTTGCCGGTCCCTGGTCCGGTACGGGGGCAACACTGAGGGTTGCGATCCGTTGCCGGACACGGAAAAAAGACAAAAAAAATAAAATAAAATAAAATAAAAGATGCAATATCCTTATCCTTGAGGATGAGACGTCAAGACTGAGATAATTCTGTACAGACCTTCAAAGTAACTCATCTTTTAAGCCTCTGCACATAATTTAGTTGCCTCTTCACAACTTACTACTCTGTCCAATTCAGTATATAAGTAACCAACTCTAAGTGCTTCTTTAGGGTGTTCATTTCCTTATGAGGGCTCCCGTACCATGTAAAACTTGTATTAAATATATTTGTATGCTTCTCTCCCATTAATCTGTTTGTCAATTTAATTCTTGGACTAAGAGGAAGGAGGTGGGGTTTTTCAGACACACACAGACACAAACACAGACACACACACGAGGAAAGCAACTGTGACAAAATGTTAGCAATCTGGTGAAAGCTATGTTAGCACATTTTTCTTGCAATTTTTCATAATAAAAGGCTGAGGGACTTACAAAGATGTAAGTAACTTCTAAATTATAAACTATTCAAGCACATAAATATTTAGCAGTTTTTGCCAACCTCTGAAAACAAAAACAAAAATAGTTACCAATTATTTCAATTTATGTTTCTAATATTTTTTGCAAGCTAAACCATTTTATATGTCTGTTGGGAAAGTTTCAAATTTCTTAAGGTACAATTACTAGAAAATACGAATTGGATTTGGCACAAATCATCACTGACCTGCCTTTTAGGAATACATAGTAAACATAAGCTGTTGATATAAACAACTATTTCAGTTTACTCTGACCACTTTCTTACTTGCATTCACTGACTTTCAAGGCCTATCTTTAACTGAGAAGAAAAACCAGCTTCTACTAGTTGAAACACATAATTACCTTTATATAACTTACCCATTATGTTCTTAGGAAATTCTACTTTCCTTCCACAGGAACTTTAGTAGTTGCCTGAAACTGTAACAATACCATATTAAGATTAATGTTGCAACAGACATATTTTCATCCATTGTTATTTAATATGGCTTTGGTGTTAAAAAGTTTAAGGACTCTCTTTATCCTTGTTATACAGGGGTTCATTGTTCCAACATAGCAAAAAAAGCCACACTTCTATGAATCAACTGAAGAGTATCAAAATGCTTTGTGAGCTTGATCAGTTGGGGCTTTTGAATTTGAGGAAGACTACTTAAAATGGGAACATAATATATAACCATTATAAGTTCATTGGTTGTTGTGGTGCTGAAGAGAATGTTATAAGGAGTGTAACACGTTACAAGTAACAGATGTAAAAAAGTTTAGTCTGTTAAAATGCACAAATAGATCATAATGATGAAGAAAAAACTGCCATACTGAGATGACCTAAGACAGTGGTCCTTTATTCTTTTTCTGGGGAAAGGCCTCAGTTGAAAATATGAAGAAAACTATGGGTCCTGTTACATAATAAAGAATTTGGCTAGCCTTTGTCCCTATTTTTTGGGAGGTAGCCTCTAAGTCCTTAGAATTTTCCTAGTGATAATATTGTCTTTGTTATTCATGGTAGGCCCTGACATATTATGTTAACCAGTTGACTCATAGCAGGCCTCTCGATAGTTTAAGCTAACAAGAGGACACAGGATGGAGGGCTTTGAGCACCTTGATATTAGCATGACTCCCAACTGGAAGGGAGCTAGAGAGTTTCAACCTTGTTGCTCATGATTCCATCACTCATGCCTACATAATGGCCTCCCAATAAAAACCCTGGACACTGAATGCTCAAGTGAGCTTTAAGGTTTAACAGTACTCTGCTCATTGCTACACATCAATGTGCTGGGAGGGTGATACATCCTGCCTCAACTCAATGAGGACATAGGAAGTTCTGTATCCTGTATTTTCTAGATAATGGTAGACACTATGCAAATATTTGCTTATATAAATGACAACATGACATAGTCAAGGACATGAAGTGACTTACATGAGGATGAAAAAAGACATTGTATCAGTTTGCACAGCTATAATTTTACTCTTCCATCCCTTCTGAATACAGGCTATGAAAGTTCTGAAATTTAATAGTGAAGTGGTAAAAAACTTGTAATAAGAAAATAGCTATCCTGCTAAGAAATTCCTGACCAATATTTTAATTGCAGCCTTAAGGAAAAGGTCAAGAAAATGAACCATAACATTTTAGAGCAGGAAAAAAACTTAGAGATAACCCTTAGCTTAAAAAATCAAATCTCTTAGTCTAGAACGCTTGCTAAGCATGGAGGGAAAGATTAAACACCATTTCTAATGTGAGATAAAGCAGAGAAAAAGGACAGCCATGGCAATATAATATTATTACCAACAATTTGCAGGCCTAATAAGTGGCAAATATTGCACTAAATGCCTTACATACATTACCTTATTTAAAAACAACTCTTCCACAGGAGAATTATTATTGCCATTTTAGAGATGAAGAAACACTGAAAGAGGCTATTACTTGCTCAAGGCTTCTACCGCCTGAGTGGCAGTGTTAGGATTTAAACCTAGGTGGGTTTTACTTCCCAGCTCATACTCCACTCCTTGCATTATTCTACACTGCCACGATAAAAAATTCTGGCTCCAGTTAAACTTACTTTCCATTCCTCCTGAGAGCTGCTGACATAAATCCTTAGATAGCTCTCTAAAATTTAAAAGTAGTACTATTTCATTTTATGATAATAATAGTAGGCAATTAAAAAATTCATCAAGGCCGTTATTATTTTCTTCTCTTTATATTGCTTTGTAATCATTCTTTTAAAAAGTGAAAAAATTAAAAAAGGCTAAAAAATCTTAAAGCACAAAAATTTTAAGTACCAACTTTTCTATCTGAAAAATCTCCAGAGCAAAACGCCTAGGATATTTATTTAACTAACAGTAGCTAAGCAACCATGCAAAGTCACATCTTAGAAGCCCTTTGGGTAGCAACAGTTTCTCTTACAGACTTAATATAGTAAATCGCTTCCACCATTTATATACCAGGGAATAATGGTGGTTGGTCTCCCCTTCCCCCTATAACAGAGAAAAAAATCAACATTAAGAGTTAAAATCCTCCTTCTCACAAGAAAAAGACTTAAAATTTCCTAATTCTTAGGGAGAAGTTAAAAATAATTAAAATATGATTAACTTAGAAAATTACCTAGACATCTCAGTTTGGGGAGATAAAAATCTCATTTTGAACTTTTTTTTCTTTTGATGGCTGGCTGGTATGGGGATCCAAACCCTTGACCTTGTTATAACACTGAACTCAAACCAACTTAGCTAACTGGCCAGCCCACAGTTTGAACATTTGAACATCTATTTCATGATTGAGCTGAGTTCTAGAAATATGAATTGGTCAGGTAAGCCAGTGGTTGGGGAGAAGGAGGTTGAGAATAGTCCTAAGCAGAAGAAAAGGCATGAACAATGGCCTGAGGTTGCGCTTTTAGAGTATCATATATAAACATTACTCTTTTATAGTTTTTTTTTTTTTTTTTAAATAAATAGAAAATCAAGGTGAGCCTAGGGCCTGCACTAAAATCAGTTTTTTTTCTTCCTTGGGGAGCGGTGGAGGGGGCAGCTTACAGGTATAAGGATCAAACCCTGAACCTTGGTGTTATCAGCATCACATTCTAGCCAGCTGAGCTAACCAGCCAGCCTAAAATCAGTTTTAAATCTAGTATCACTGAACATCCAAAATATATTTGAGGGCCGGCCTCTGGCTCACTTGGGAGAGTGTGGTGCTGATAAAACCAAGGCCATGGGTTCGGATCCCTATATAGGGATGGCCGGTTAGCTCTCTTGGGAGAGTGTGGTGCTGACAACACCAAGTCAAGGGTTAAGATCCCCTTACTGGGCATCTTTAAAAAAAAAAAAAAAAGATATTTGAATAGCCCATCCTTTTTCTGACTTGAAATGTTTCCTTTGTCATATACGATATTGCTACATGGACTTCTAGACTATATTTTGTTCCAGTGATCTATTTACAGCTGACAAATATCTCCATTGTTTTAATTATAACAGCACGATAAACACGAATGGTTGAGTAAGTTACCTATTTTGTTCTTATACATTTCTCATTAGGTCTACTTTTAGGTACTTGTTAGTTTCCATTATGAATGGGATCTATTTTCCTATTATATTTTCTGAAAGGTTACTGCTGGTGTTGTATAAAGCTTTTAAATTTGGTTAAGTTGATCTTGTATCCCGTCATTTTTGCAGAACACTCCTATTAGTTTTAACTGTTTTTCAGTTGATTTGCTTGAATTGTTTTAAGTAGATGATAGCAACTGCTGCTATCTTCTTACATTGGCTATTTACTTGGAAAAAATAAGGTTAGATCTCTGACATCACTCATAAAAATACACTACAGATTAAAGAACCAAATGTAAAAAATTCCACTGAACTTTGGAAAAATAGAAGAAAAAAATACAACTAGCTTATAGAATAGACATGTACTTGTATAAAAATGCTTGATCCCAAGAGTTATCAGAAAAATGCAAACCAAAACTTTAAAACTTGCTAAAAATCAAGTATGTGTGTGGGAGATGGGTGATTCTAAATAAATGGCACAATAATTTTGGTGGGAAGCAGTAGAAACAATTAACTTTTAAAACACATCAAGAGTCTAGCAATTCCACTTCTTGGCATTTACTTCAGAGAAACACTAGCATTGTGTGCAAAGGCAAGCAGAAAAATATATACCTAATGTTACACATGAAAAACTGAAAATACCTTAAAAGGTACACTAATTAGGGAATGAACTATATAAAAATATTATATCCATGTTTATGAAATATTATGGAGCAGTGAAAAATAAGGTAAATCTATGTATGTAATGACATGGAAAGACTGCCAAGATAAACTGTTAATTTCTTAAAAAGCAAGTTAGAATGATAGGTACAGTTTGATGCCACTTATGTAAAATAAGTGCCTTCTCACTTACTAATCTTATGTTTTTTGCAGATAAATAAAAACACATAAATACATGCTCTAAAGTACAAACAACTAGAAAATAGTCTTGAAAGATACTCTCCAAACTGATAATAATCCTTACCACTGGGGTGGAGACCAAGAAAGAGAGGGGTGGCCAGCAGAAAATGTAAGCTTGTCTGAAATATTTTCTTTTTTCTTTTTTTTTTTTTACAAACAGAATCTACCCCAAAAATTGATTTTTAAAAATAAATAAGTGGGTAGAACCAAGCAAAGTCATGATTTGAACAATGGTCAGCCTGATGATTAGTTCCTAACTGTATGTAAGAATGTGATTAATTCGGAAAACAAAGTAAATTACATTAACCAAAAATAATCTAATGTTCAGGAATATTAGAGAGGCTTTGATTTAATAATACAAATTGGCGTACATTAGGAAGCAATTCCATTTTGTAATAAGGCATCAAAATATCCTGCCTCCCGAATGAATTTATAACTTTCAAGAAGAGCTGAAATTCTCATTCTAACCTATTCAACTTATAACAATGCTCTCATATTTAACTCTTGCCCAGGGAGTCTTAACACCTTTAGCTAATAGTTTCCCCTTCTCAATTTTTATGCCCACTGTGGAATTTACAGTTTTCTTTGCTATGGATGCAAATGCTTCACAGCTGCCTTTTGTTTTTTTACATGCATTTTGTCCCTCTAGCTGTAAGTTTCCACAAAGCAGGAAGGTTCTCTCTCGCTATGACCCATGAATCCAGCACAATGGTGTAGTTCTGTGGTAAAGTTAACAAATTGTAGCTTCGTACAATAATGTATCTACCACAGATATATTTAGATAATATTATCCTGAGTTTTCTACCAGATACAGTTATCCAATGGCACAATGCTTTTGACCAAGACTGATTTATGTTTTACCTTGATGTTGGCATTTAATATACTAAGAACTTTCGGTCAACCCCAATGAAAACTGTTCTTTCTAGAAGACATTTACTTAAGTTTATTGGAATAGTTTGGGTTATATGACTGTAATTCAAAAAGTTCGTGGA